CCAGGCACACTGACCTCTTTGTCACTCCTCAGTTCTGCCAGGAAGTCTTCTGTCTTTAGGCCTTTGCACCTGCTGTTCCCTCTGTCTGGGGTGCTCTTTCCCTGAATATCTGAATGGCTGGTTCCCTCACCTCCTTCAGGTTTATAGGCAGATGAAACCTTATCGGTGACCCTTGTTTGACCACCCTATTTAAAGCAGCAACACTACGAGGGCCCAGCTGGGAACTCTACTCCCATTGCTTGCTTTATTTTCCTCATCGAATGTTTCACCATCGGACATGTTTTTTTTTGTTTTGTTTTTTAAAGATTTTATTGGGGAATTGGGGGAGGGGAACAGTGTTGGGGAATCAGGGAAGGGGTACCAGACAACTTGCTGTCCTTTTGTTCTTCAGTCTAGTTGTGGAGGACGTCGCTTCACTGGCCCATGTTGGTATGATCATTGCACTCTTCCCAGGTGAGGCAGTCTCTCGCCAGCCATTGGACAGCCACTCACGGCGGCTCACAGCAGCTCACAAAAGCTCACGCCCTGCTACTGGCCAGCCCCACTGCAGCTTACACCGTCGCCAGCGACTCACAGCAGCCTAGCTGCAGGTGGAGCTGTTGTTCACCATCTTAGCTGTAGAGGGCGCAGCGTCACTGGCCCTCATGTGGGATCCGAACCACGGCCCCACTGCTCAGAGCTGGCGTCTCAAGCCAACTCCCAACCAACATGCTGTCCCCAGACATGTTTATATCTCTTGTTTATTGACTATGTCCTCTCAAGAGTTTGGAAAGCTCCACAAGGGCAGGGTTTGTGCGGGTTTTATTCACTAATGTATCTCCAGCCTCTAGGACAACACTTTACAACTATTTATTGAATAAATGAAGACCACATCCATCTTTTCTAAGGCGTTCCTTAGGACACTGAGTGACTTTACAAGGCCTCTCTTTTTCCTCTGAACCACAAGGTAGGCTCAGGTCTCAGCTCTCAATCAACACTGTTGACCTTTCTCCCACAGCTGTAAATACTGTCCCTATGCTCACGACTGTCAAATGTTCCTCTCCAGCCCTGAACCCTCCCTGGAGTGCTGACAACCCATGTGCCTTGTCTACTTGGACGCCTCAAACTTATCATGAATAAAACACACTGATGAGTTCCCCTTCCCCTTCCTCTCCTACCGACCATTTTACCCCCATAAAACACACACACACAGACAAAACCTCTTCCTTTCCCATTTTCCCATTCTGTGAATGGTGCCACCATCCACCCGGTTGCTCAAGCCCTAAGCTTAGAAGTCATGCTCAATTCCTCTCTTTCCCTCTATCCCCACATCCAATCCATTGGCAAGACCTTCAGCTCTACCTTGAAACTATTTCCTAATCCCAACTACGGCTTCTCGCGTATGTTCCTAAGACCTTTGTCCAAGCCACATAACCTCTCACCTGGACTCTTGCTATTATCTATTTGAAGCCTCCCCGAACCTAATCCATCTCACACAATATCAAAGTGGTCTTTTAAAAACTCAAATTGATCATGTCATTCCTCCATTTTAAACCCTCAATAATTTTCCATTGCAGGGGGCGGCCGGTTAGCTCAGTTGGTTAGAGTACAGTGCTCATAATACCAAGGTTGTCCGTTCAATCCCCACATGGGCCACTGAGATGCAACCTTCACAACTGGATTGAAACAACTACTTGACTTGGAGCTGATGGGTCCTGGAAAAACATACTGTTCCCCAATTAAAAAGGAATAAAAAATAAAAAATTGTTCTTTAAACAAAAAATAGACCTAAAAATGTATTTAAAAAAAAAATTCCACTGCACTTAGACTGAGACTCAAATTTCTAACAGTGGCTACAAGGCCCTTCATGACATGGTCCCCACCGCCCTCTCTAGCCTCACACTACACAACTGTCCCCTCATTCCTCACGCTGTAGCCGCACTGACCTGTCTGTTCCTGCACTGCACAACAGAAAACTATCATGTCTGCTCAGTCTCCACACTTTCTTATAGTCATCAGTCTTTGCCCATGTTTGGCTGCTTACAGGTTCAAAAGTGAAGCGCAATAGTTGTCACTGGTACCCTGGGTGACAGGGAGACAAGTCCCCACAACCGTTATCATAAACTTGTCTGCCAGAAGTTTTAGCATGAAAAGGCTACAAAAGCCTGAATGTCTCTGAGGCAAATGGCAAGATTTATAAACCATGAGTCATGAAAAGTAGGACAATTCAGTTTGCTATGAGGACATGGAAACTTCTGCAGATTACTGAGGTGAATCTCATTACTCTCCCCATATTATTGCTCTGGCTGTTCACCTCTCCTCATTCATTCAGACATCCCCCAGGTGCCATCTGACTCAAGGCTATTTTACATATAAAGGTTTCTCATTTTGACAGACAGCACTACTCACAACATCACCCTAGCCCACCCTGACCCTCCCATTCTAATAAACTAACCCAAGATCTACATTTGCATTGCTATTTTTCAGACCCAAGTTCACTCTACAAGGCTTGGTAATACAAAGAAGATACCAATCCACATTAAGTTAACTTTATTCCCAAGTCCTGACACTTGCAACCAATAGTACTGCTTCTGATCCCACTGGCGTTTCTTCTGAACCCCCAGATGCCTTCTGGTTGCCTAATTTACCTTCTGTAAGTATACTACTCAATCTAACAAGATATGCCCTATTACTCAAAAGACCCATTAGGGAGGGAGGGAGGGAGAGAGAGAGGAGTCTGAATTTGGCCCGTTGAAGTAAATTTGTGCCTCGAGTACTTTAACTCATGGTCATTTTAATTCATGGTGTAAGTGATGGTGGTTTCGCTATGCATTTTATGTTCAATTTTGTACTGTAATTGTCATTGCTTCAAAACTGCCAGTTAGTGCTAAATGACTTCCTAATTACATTTTTCAATCCCTTTCCTTGCTTAATCTAAAAATTGTTCAAGTGAAAGGGTTTGCAAGCAGCCGCATGCCCTTACTGATTACTTTCTTAAGATTGTCAAGGAGCAGTCAGGGGGTCTCAGACAAGCCTGTATATGGGCTTTGCCTAAACTTGCAAAGAAATAATAGGATGAAGCCATTACATGGTTAATTCAGTCACATTCTACAAAGCTTGAAAGTGCCACAAAAATTGATGTAACGAGATTTTAACAACAATAAAAGAAACAAAACCACAGAATGTGAGGGCAGAGAACGTTGTTTTGAATCAAACTTCTCTCTCAAAAATCTCATCAGTTATGTAAATCTGGTTTGCAAAATTAGTGCTATGACAAGGGTTCCATAAACTATATTATCTGAAAGAACCATCACTTTCAAATTTTATTTTAAATATGTCTAAAAGGATTTGCTCTGCTTTTCCATGTATAAGTACAGTTAGCTATGAAGCATAAAAAATTTTCATTACAACAGATTATTGTAAGATATAATTGAATTAGGAGTGTTTACTTATATAAATATAAATATGACTTGTTTAAAATGTGAAAGATGAGGCTTATGAATCACAAAATGGTGAGTACAAACCCTTGTTAACAAATTCTGACATAAACTTGCAAACCATCGTATTTTAGAAAGTCAAAAGTAAATGACATCAACAACACATTCTATTTAAAAGTGTTGAAGAGTAATTTGTATACAAAGATAAAATGAATAGTGTGTAGGAATAGACACCAGGAAAATAAGCCTTAGTTATACTGCATATACAGTCTAGAATAAATATAAATGAAACATCTCTTTTGGCCTTACCTTTCTTGAGACAAGGAAATTTAAACAATTTAACCAGACCAAAATCATCTCCAGACACCAGCACTGAGCTGTTGTAATTTGCATCCACTGAGTTGATGTCAATGATGTCAGTGTATTTTGGCCAAATTCCACTCACTTCCGGGCCTTTCACACACGTCCAGGACGCCCAGGGAATCCCCTTGATTTCTTCCTTACTTGTTAAGGGCTTCCCAGCTGGAAAAAAAAATCAATATTCATATGTTACATCTAAATAAAAAGCATATTCTAATTTATTCACTTTTCTTTTTTTTTAATAGAGGTTTAAAACTTTTTTCTTTCAAGTTCTATAAAACAAGGAAACTATAGAGTCTGATCTCTTTCACGAGCTGACGTTTTTGTTTTTGTTTTTGTTTTTGGTTGTCTTGCAGAAAGGTTTAAAGCAGCGGTTCTCAACCTTCCTAATGCCGCAACCCCTTAATACAGTTCCTCATGTTGTGGTGACCCCCAAGCATAAAATCATTTTCGTTGCTACTCTATAACTGTAATTTTGCTACTGTTATGAATCATAATGTAAATATCTTTTTGTTTTCCGATGGTCTTAGGCGACCCCTGTGAAAGAGTCGTTTGACCCCCAAAGGGGTCACGACCCACAGGTTGAGAACCGCTGGTTTAAAGGAAGCACATGGTCAAAACTGAGACATAATAAGAAAAAAATAATCATTGTACTACATGTCATGTCTCAAACTACTAATGTTCACTTGATCTTAATTATATAGATTCTGGTGATATTATGTTTCATATCATTGATGAAATTACTTTTATTAAATTATACATTATCATATGTAGTCACCAATATTTTGCTAGGTTTTAAAAAGTTTATTCTTAACTTCTACTTTTCATAACTTAAGGAACCATAGAAGTGATTTTTTAAAAATTCAGGCTCAATAAATTAGAGAAAAAAATTAATGAATTTTATTATTTAAGTTTAAAAGTGCTAGACAATAAAAAAATCCACCAAATTTTGATGAAATAAATGTAATTGGTTGGTGAAAATTGTCTCTGCAATAGTGCTAGATATGTTCTTAAATGTATGCCATGAAACCCAGTTGCCACCAGCAGCTGGTGAGGGATGGCCCCAGGGAACACACAAAGGAAGAATCACACTGATTAAGAAATGTTTGAGAAAATGTCTAGCCATACATATTCTAAAATTCAAAATCAAAACAATTAAGTATATTATCTCATACTTTCCCCTTCAAAATAAACAAATATTTTCAAATTAAGAATCTGTGAGAATAGATGCTCTTGTACATTACTGGTGTACTATGAAGCTGGTACCCACATATCCTGAGCTCTACCACAGCATTACATAAAGGTTCATTATTAAGACTATAGAATCAGAGAGTTTATATTTGGAACATAGGCTTTGATCCAGGTTCCTGCTTTGGAGAATATAGTCCAAGAAAGTATTCAGAAGAGAAAATCCCAACTGTACAAAGATATTTGAAACTGCACTGTGTGTACCAGCAAAGAAAATAGAAATAAGCCCAAATGTTCAATAACGGGAGAATGAGAAAGCAAATCATGATATTATCACTGAGCAGGATGTTATTTTGTTACTGCAAATGGCAAATATGTGTTCCATATTTTTTCACATATATATGAGAAAACAAGAAGAAAGTAGACAAAGAAATATGCGCCTAGTAATAGTGCATTGACAAACCTAACAGGGCAGAGACTCTTTAAAAAGTTGAAGTTATATGTTACTCATTGTATGGTAAAGATTAATTTTTCAATAAAAACTTTAAGATAAAATATTATCTGAGGTCAAAGTTTATGTTAAATATTAAATTTTTCCTCTTACATTAAAAAATCATAATCAAAGATTATAATAAATTTATCTTTTATGACATTTTAGTACTACAAATTAAATGTTACCAAATGGGTATTATAAGTCAGATGAATCTCTTCTGAAAAGTTACAGTGGGAGATGCAGATAAAAATTGTTTTTTTAATCCCAATTTGCATATTTTACCAAATAATCAAATAGTAAGGACTTCCATTTATGAAGAACAAAGATTTGAGACTAAAGCAATCAGTAAATAAACACTATGATCCTCAAATCGTTAGTATTTTTAGTACTTTTTCTAGGATTTTTTTCTTTCACTTATCTTTAAGCATTCTTTATAGATATCCTTTGTTCATTATAACAGGTGCAAGTACTTATGCCCAGTCGATGTCTTTTCATTTTATTCAAGGTCTCTTGTTCAGTTATATTTTTATTTTAATGTGTTCCAATTTACTCATCTTTTCTTTGATAGTTTGTGATTTGAGGGTCTTGTTTCAGAAAACATCCCTTGCCCTGAGGTCATTCATAGCAACATTCTCATATTTTCTTCATGTGGTTCAAAGTTTTGCTTTCCACAAGCATTCAATGCCTGCATGACTTACATGGCATTTTGTAGAACAGTCGTTCTCCTGCGCCATCATTAGTTTGCAAGTATTTACTATCCAAAGACCAGTCAATGTGTGTAATGAAACTAAGGGACTTGTTGCATTCTCCAATTTTCTTATACCTCTGGGCAACAGCATAGACGTCTACTGGGCCATCATTGGATCCCACTGCGAGATAAGAACCATCTGGAGAAAATTTCATTTCATGAATGACTTCTTTTCGATCTTTGATATGAACCACTTCTGTCATATCTCTATAAGAATAAAAAGCGAAGTGGTAAGCAGCAAATAGAAACTCCAAGTCACGTTTTAAAGTATATGAGTCAGAGATAAAAAATTGTTTAGAAAGGAAAAAAAATAAAACTACAGAAAATGAAAAATTAACTTTTAAGGAAAGATATAAAATATTAAAGTTCATGGCCAATTTAACAAATTTAATAATGAATATTTTAAATAATATTTGGGGCTGCCAAAGTAAAAACCAGGAAAATAAAATGCATATTTGCTTTCATGTTCAATTATATATTATCTTTCTCTAAAATTTCTTGTTAAAAAAATTGAGGTTTGTAAAACTGTTTTAAAATATGTCATGGAAAAGTGCACATATATCAAGGCAGCATAAAAATATGCCACCTTCTTATATTTTAAGAACAAGAAACCAGTGATTGTTAAGCTTAATGCTTATTGCTGTAACGAGAGCAAGTCCAAAAAGCAGGAGAGGAAAATTACTTTTTTACTGTTATGTCATTATTTAACTTTCACGATAAAAGTTCAATAATGTGTACACTGAATCTCTGGAATATTCTGTATCCTTTCTGATCAGATGCCAGTAAGTCTGCCCTCATTTGAAAGTTCACTGAGCATTTTTCTACAACTATGAGACAGGATTATGACTGACAAGTCCCCTGAGCCAGTAATGATGCCTTTATCGACTCCAAAATGAATTGGGTGCATAAGTAATGCCAAATATTTGCTTCCACATAATAATTCCTCACACCTGCTATCATTTATTAATAGCACTACAGTTTACTACAATGTCATAAAATAGGTGTGGGGGTATTTTGTTTGTTTGTTTGTTTTGGCTTGGGAAATCCATCAAAAAGAAAAGAAAATCTGGTACTTAGACATCTTTTCACATATCACTAAGCAGAGAAAGAAAATGCTGCCCACCAATTTGGTAATAAGTTACATGTGGCTGGTAATGAGAATTTAGTGTAATAAAGCATGCCAAGAGCATTTCTCATGGCTATATAGAATTGTCTCTGTGCAAAACATGCCATATCTAATTGATGGCTGCATTTCCTTTCTGTAATCATAAAATGTATGAGCCAAAAGGACAACCAATGTGTTCAGAGAAATAACAAGGGTGGATCATAATTTTTATCCTGTAAAAATAATATAGGGTGTTAATAGGTATGAAATATTCTATTTTATTGTCAATTATGGGTGGAAGAAATCTTTTACTCAAGCTCAACTTTAAAAATATGGTGCTACTGGAGAGCTTTATTCTACCTTCTTCTTTCCTTTGCTTACTACAAGCACATAATTGCTGATCTAAAACCCTTGGGACCAAATGAGCTTGGGAATTCATTATTTGTTAGATTTTTTAAAAGGCCCACACACAATTTATTATGTAACATCGCCAGTGGGGGCTGGGGCAGCATGCTGTATTACTACATTAATATTTTTGCAGCAAACCACATGATACATGATTATCCCTACTAAGAGATTAATAGACTATAAACAATCTCAAATAAGTTCACTGGGTCAGGCTACGCTGCCAAATAAGTCACCGAAGAATTTTGGATATTCAAAGTGTTCAGATTTTGGGATTACAGATAGGGGATTGTGAATCTATAGTGTTCCTATATGAAAGAGTAAGTGCATTTCCCCTAAGGTCCTGGCGTATATTATGACCAGGAGAATCTTAACAAAAGAGCATATTTAATATCGTTTTCAATGTCAATACATGCCTGACTCGGAGAACAATGAAGGAGCCATCCTTCATGCCCAGGGCCAACTGGGATCCATCAGGGCTGAAAGCAACACTACGAACTGCTTCCTCCATGTTACAGCGGGCGATCAAGGCATGGTCAGCCAGGCTCCACAGCCTAAGCACAAGAACAAAGTGAAAAAACACAACAAAACCGACTTCTCATAGTCATCAGCCAGCCCAAGGCAAGAAGGCCTGCTCACCACACTGTGATAAAAACCAAAAAAGGATACAGTAACTTCACACTAGTGTCCTTCCTCACGGCATGTCCAGGAATCTGGGATGGTGTTCAGTCTAACTTTGGGTCATTTTTACCATTTGAAATATCCAGCAAGGAATATAAAATGAGATAACATTTCCAAAAATTTTGAGATTCACAGAAAAAGAAAAATTTAAACACTATCTTCACACAGCATCTTACTTTTCTCTTTGGAAATTAAAAATTGTTCTTTACTTATACCAATGGTGGTTAATAACACAGGATAAGGGGCACTTACTGGATGCTATTATGGTTAGTTTTCTAAAAAAAAAATATATATATATATATATTATATATTTTAGTTTTTTATTTTTTTTTACTACTCTTGTAGTAACTGTGTCATTTAAGTACATATAGATTGAAATACATATTCCATTTGTTGGCCTCCCTAGAAAGAAAACATATCTGAGAAGGAGAAGAGTGAATGGTATCCCTGCCCAAGACAGTTCCAAAGCCAGCTGAGCTGTATACAGTCATACGTTGTCTTTCCTCATAAGTTCCCTGTGCGTCCCCACATTCGTAAGTCCACTCATGGTCAAGGCAGATCTTCACAGTACCCCTGCCTGATGAGCACAGCTGCTGCTGGAGAAATGGGGGTCAAGGGACAAGTGCAGCTAACACACAGTTTTTGGCAGCTCCAGGAACACCTAAGCCAGGCACCGCAAACGGAGTGAACATGAACTAAATCTCTGAAGCTACACATGAGGGTTTACATGTGAGTTGAAATTGTGGTATCTGACCTCTGTGTGTTAGTACTTTTAAGACAGTCTTCTCATAACACACAAACCACAATATCTGCTAAAGGGATTGAGAACCCAGAGTTCTACAATAGAAGCAAGAATTAGTCATGTGTGTTGCAGTTTCTCTAATGTGTTCTGCCATTAGGAGGGATGGGCGCACACTCCTTACAAAGCAGAGTTGCCCAGTGAATAGTTCACTGATCCCTTAGGCAGCCTTGCACTCTTCAGCCTAAATCTTACGGTATTCTTTCAATGCCTTGTCCATTATTCATGATCTCATGCTGTTTTCAGCCACGTACTATTTTCAGCAATGTAAGCTTTGCTTAACTAGCATGAAGAAACCATTACACCTCAGGAAACTGTCCTCTCCTTATAAAGTCACTGAGCTAATCTTTCTCAAGAAATGATGACTTACACCCTTCCTAAATTTCCATACTCAGTGTAAAATTACATTTACCAAATTAATGGTTAAGGAGAATGAGACAAATTCTGGCAGTCAGGGCACCTTGGGGATGTGTGCAATTCTGAAACCCAACACAGCTGTCAAAATACAGAAGTCAAACACTTTCTTGAAATCATTTTTATCTGGATGGGTATGAATGGGTTTTGGCAGATGTTTGAATAGCTTGGTGGCATTGTTTTGCCTGGTCAGGGAAAGCTCAGAGTAATGGACGGAAGAGAAGAGGAAGTAAGTGAAGACAAGCCAAATACACACTTAGGTCACAGGGGCAGATAACTGGAGCTGCTCATACTGACTTTTTTTTTTTTTTTAAGCTGAGCTATCCTGCCACCTGTTAGTAGCTCAGCGGCTGCTCAGCTTGGGCTGGACTCGAACCACTGTTCCTCAGAGCTCAAACTCTTGAGCGAGCTCTTAACCAGCTGAGCCATTCGGCCGGCCCCATACTGACTTTTAGATTGATGAGGCTTAGTGCTTGGTAGAGACTAAAAAATGGATTTATTTTTGGATTTTTACTTTACTAAAGAGTATACCAATTGTATCTTGATCAGATTCCCCGACATACAGAATAAGGGTAGGCGGGAAGCAGGAACCTTTAGTTTACAATATTCTATTTTAACTATTAAAACCCAGAAGCAGTAATCGATTGATTGATTGATCAATCTATTCCCCCCACCCCATCACTCGCTCTTTCCAGCCTGTTTCTGACCACAATGAAAGCTAAGTAATAAATACAAAAATACTGAAAGCAGTGTAATAGTCTTCACCTCACACTTTTAAATTGTATGTTCAGTCCTTCAACATTCGCAAGAACACTGGAAGCATACTCATACTGTTCATTTTATGCAATGTTGTACTATCAAAAGTAACAAATGATCCACAGTAAGAACCCTTGATGCTAATAAAATTGCCTATTTTCTCAAGAGCCAGAAATTTCCTTTGATTTGTGGACAATGTTTAAAATTTCATCTGAGAATTTACAAAGACATAACTATTTACTCACGTGCTGAAGACAACTTTGCAAATCAGAATTTAAGTTCTAATGGTAATAAATGAGTGTCTGTGAATATACTGTGAAATTGCTGTGCACCCTTTGCCGAGGACCAAAGGTATGAGAAGGAAATATGCTCTTACCACCGATGAGCATGCTTAGCTCTCAGAACTGTGACTAAAAGCCAGTCTTACCAGTAGTAATATCTTTTCACTTCTAAGGTCATTTTCATGACTTAAGATGGAACCAAAGAAAGATAACAACAATGAAATGCCAAGAAGCCAACTGCTGTTGAGTTTAAATGTCAACATTCCATGTGAAAATTGTGTGGCTCTGCACTGTGGTGTATCCCTCTCTTAAGTAACAAGCAAATTGGGGCAAAATAAATCTGTTATCCCAGGGAAATCAGTGAGGTGACAACAGCTACTGCTGGGGCCTCACCTAACAGAGCGGTCATCACTGCCTGTCACAGCCAGTGGCTTCTTGGGGTGCAGAGCCAGAGCCCAGAGCTCCCCCTCACAGTGGCCTTGGAGGATCAGCATTGGCTTGTCTCGTTCTCGCACAATCACTTCAAATATTTCACTGTCCTGGGTTCCTGCTAGAAGACGGTCGGCTTTCCAGCACACACTCCGGATAGAGAGGCCTGCCAAAAATAAGTAAGTAAAATAAAAACATATCTTCACACCATTTACAAATAAAACATCTAAAGTAAATACCCTTTTACCAGGATAGCATCTAATGCAACACATTTTTTTAAAAAAAAAAACATATGATTTCACTCATATGTGGGGTACAAAACTGAAAGCAACAAACAAACAAGACAAAAACTCATAGACACAGACAACAGTTTAGTGGTTACCAGAGAAAAAGGGGGAAGAAAATAGGTAGAAAAGAGTAAAGGGGGTCAAACATATGGTGACGGAAGGAGATTTGACTTTGGATAGTAAATACACAACACAATAGATGATGTATTATAGAATTGTACATTTGAAACCCATATAATTTTATTAACCAATATCACCCCAGTACATTTAATAAAAATTAATTACTTAATTAATTCCTGGGGGTGGAGGATCAAGTCCATGTTCCATTTTGTATTGTTTACCATTTCCTTACCTGTGTTGGTCGTTTCCTCCAATCTCTTGTAATTCATTTTACAAAAGAATAACCACTCTGTCCTGCCTGAATTAGGACAGCGACCTGTTTTTACAGCCAGATATATCTTAAAACTACATTTTAAAATGAATATAAGAGGAGAAATTGGTCTTTATGAAAATCTAAACCTCTTTGAAATTATTTCCTTCTGATTTTCTAAGGAAAAGTTAATAATCACTTCAACCTTTAGGATGTTAATATTGCATTAAAATTATATGTGGCTGATACTACAAAATGGTTAGTTATATTAGGTAAATTTAATACGTATTTGATAAGAACCCAGACTCATTCTACTGGATAAACAGATGCACTGTGTCCCAGAAAATGCAAATGGAATTCTAATTTCAGTCTCAAAATACCATCAAACATCAAACAATTTATGGAACCTTCTCTAAAAGCACAGTGCTCCTTTTAAATCTGAACTTCTGCCTCCGTAGTATTTTATCCTCTTTCGTCAGGTCTTCACTTGCCTGCTTGAGTTATGATCTCTCGGACTTCTTGCAGTCTGTTCTGTCCCTTACTGGGTTCATTATTTATTTACTTACACAGTGAATCTTCTCATGTCTCAATTAGAAATACAGAAGTGATCCCACTTTCTTAACTACTTTAAACCAGGTGAGGAGGTGATAAGCTTTGAAAGCTGAGTTGCCTCGCCAGTGAGCTTTGTGTCCTTGAGGTAGAAAGTACCAGAAGTCAGAGCACCTGGGCTTTAATCCTGTTCTACACCTGATTGGCCACATGCAGGAAGAAGAGTCCCTTTACTTGGGGGCCCAGTTTGTCTCCTCATAAAATGTAGACTATAATTATGGAAATCATGTAATTTAGCATTGAAATTGGGATCCATTAAAAGTAAAAGGAGATTCTAAAATTAAATTTCATAATTTTTTGAAATATGTATTAACCAAGAAAGTCGTTTTACAATGTTAAAAGGCCTATTAAATAGTTCTACCAAAAATATTTTAAATGCAAAAAAAATACTTTTAAATGCAAAATTCTAAAAAACACTTTATTACAAAACAAAAAGTCTAGGACGAAGGGATGAATAGGCAAAGCACAAAGGATTTTTAGGGCTGTGAAACTATTCTGTAGGACACTATAATGGTCAGTATATGTTATTATTCATGTGTCAAAATCCATACAATATACGACATCAAGAATGAATACTAATGTGAACTACAGGCTTTGAGTGACGATGTGTCAGTGTGGGTTCACCTACAAACAAAAAACATTGTTTTTAAATGTAGGTTCATCCATTGTAAAAAATGTACCACTCTGGTGGGGAGATATTGATAGTCAGAAAGGCTGTGTGTGTGAGGTAGGGGATATGTGAAAAATACCTGTAAATTCCACTCAATTTGGCTGTGAACCTAACTGCTCTAAAAACACTATTAAAAAAAAAATCCAGGACAAATGCTAAGTCAGATGGGATGCTAAGACAACAGGAGGGTTAATTGGGGTATAGGGATACTGTAATCTTCATCTTTACTAACTGAGGTCTTGAAAGGATCAAATGAAATAATGCATTTAAGAAAAAGTATTTTTTAAGGCATAAGACTATTTTTACACAAGATAACTCTTTACTCCTTGTTCTGAATTCATTGTTATGTGTCTTGAAATGGAAGGAGACAGCACACAGGCAGATTTCTTATTCCTGCTGTGAGTAGTACGTGGAGATATCTTGGCAACAGCTAGTTCAGGGTCAATCACTCAAAATCCTCCACTGTAAACATCATGATGGGCTTTCAAGGTGGGGAAGGACAGATGTGTGGTGAAAGCAGTCAGGCATAAGGTGGCAGGCTGAAAAAGTAGGCAGCACAGCTGTGGAGGAAACTGCCTTGTAGCGACAATCCTTTTGCCACGGTCCCTTTCTTGGCCTTATCTCTTTCCTACCCATTTCAGAGGTGCAGGTACTACTCACTAATTAACATTGCTTCCTCTGGGAAGGGTAGTGAATTTACTGTCTCCTCAGCACACTTTCTATCATCTAAATTTTATTATAGAAAGGATGTAACACTTTATTCTTTGGAAACAGGAAGGAAAGAGGGATATTAATTATATTTCAACATCAGCAAAAAATCAAATAATTTACTTGTTTATTTATTGTCCATTTCTCTCTCTAATGTCTGTGAAGAGAAGAGTGTTTTTCGGTTTTACATACTGCTAGTTCCTCAGTACCCAGCAGTGTCTGGCATGTAACAGAGGCTCAATAAGAATTGTTGAATGAATAAAATAAAACATCAAAATAACAAGCATTTCTTGAGTCCTTGAAGATATCAGAAAAAACAACATACTCATCCTCGATGAGAACATTTATATTCATTCATGTTTTAAAATTTTTGATTGAACAACTACTACATGCCCAAGATTGGAGCTCAAATAGTGAACAAGCCAGGCTCATGCTCTAGTGGAGTTTATAGTCTAAGGAGAAACCAGACATTTATAAGCAGATATCTACATAAGAAAAGCAACTAAAATAATATGAGATTCCAGTTCAAGATAGCAACATAGGAGTATCCTGAACTCACCTCCTCCCAGGGACACACCTAATCCATAGCTACATATGGAACAATTGCCTCTGAAAGAAACCCCAAAATTAGCTTAACAATTCCTACACACTGGGTGAACAATAAAAAAGAAATCTACATCAAAACAGGAGAGGCTGAGACACAATCTCGCTATAAACCATAAACCCCATCCCTGGTGCATCAACCCACAACTAAGAGGGAACGCACAGCTCTGAGCAAGTTCCTGAGTAAAGAATTTGAATCCCGCATCTGGCACCCAAACTTTTAACACTTGTGCCTGAGAGATGAGCCCCCCAAAGCATCTAGCTTTGAAAGCCAATGGGGCTTGTGTCCCTGAGGTCTACAAGGCTATAGCAAACTGAGAAATAGCTCTTAAAGGGCTCGCATGTGCGGACTGACCATGGCTGTACTCCAGGGCCCCATGCAGAGGCAGCTGACTTAAATGCTCAGTCTTTCTGTAAAAAATACCTATTTGCTTAACTTAAAGCTTCGATCTGAAGGCAGTCATCTAATTTAACAAATAGGGGCAAAGTGGAATACTCTCCAAAGCCCAAGGAGGCCAGAGAGTGCCATCTTTGAACTCTCCGTCTGCCTCACTTCAGCTCATCTGTATCTCTCAGAAAGGAGCCTCTGCACATGTGTGGCACCCCAGTTTTCATTGCTGCTGCCCAGGGATCACCCCTTGATAGCCTGGCTATGGTGGCCAGTGGGGTTTGTGTTCACAGGTTCAGTGGTAGCAAACAAACTACCAGTTCTTAACTGGCATTCACCCCAGGGCTCAGTGCAGAGGGACCAGACAAAAAATGCCCATCTCCCAGTCTTTCCCTGAAAAAGGTATATTTGCAAACTTTAAAAGCTGCTGCCTGAGGGTCTGGATTCCAATCAGTCTGAATCTAGGTGCTGACTGAGATCCTCCCCTTTAGGACACAGACAGGTCTTGGTACACCCTCAACTACTGGGGAGCCACTAAGAACAAAGTAAGCTTCTTAGACAATCATACAGGTTTGAGATACAAGCAAGAGTTAGGGCAGGGTTGAACCATTAGGTTCATCTCCTACATGAGGCCACCTCTTCAAGACTGAGAGAGGTACCTGTTTTATTTAATGCATGGAAACCAACACAGAGAGTCAAGGAAAATGAAGAAACAAAAGGACATGTTCAAATGAAAGAATAAGATAAAAATCTCAGGGAAATACCTCAATGAAATGCAGATAAGTGGTTCACCTGATAAGGAGCTCAAACTAATGATCATAAAGATGTTCACTGAGCTTAGGAAAATAATGCATGAACAAAGTGAGAATTGCAACAAAGAGATAGAAAATATAAGAAAGTGTAGCAAACAGAAATCACAAAGCTGAAGAATTCATTCACTGAACTGAATACACTAGAGAGGTTCAACAGCAGACTAGATGAAGCAGAAGGATGGATCCGCAAACTCAAATACAAGGCAATCAAACTCACCAATGAGAGCAGTAAAAATTAAAAATGAAAAAAGAAAATGAAGATAGTTTCAGTGACATTATAGGAATCCCAGAAGAAGAGAGAGAGAATGCAGCAGAAAATTTATTTGAATAAATAATGGCTGAAAATTTCCCTAACCTGGGGAAAGAGACAGGTTTCCAGATCCAGGAAGCCCAGAGAGGTCCAAATAATATGACCCCCCCCCCAAAAAAAACCCACACCAAGACAAATTATACTTATAGTTAAGATGTAAAAAGTTAAAGACAAGGAGAGAATCTTAAAAGCAGCAAGAGAAAAACAATTTGTTATGAACTAGGGAACTCCCATAAGATTGTCAGCAGATATTTCAGCAGAAATTTTGCAGGCCAGAAAGGAGTGACACAATATATTCTAAGTGCTAAAGAAAATTACTGCCAACCAAGATTACTCTACCCAGAAAAGATGTCCTTCTGAATTGAATGAAAGAGAGCTTTCCAGACAAGCAAAAGCTAAAGGAGTTCAT